GCAGCCTACGTTTTGGGACACAGCTAGGGTTATTGTTAGCCATTTATAATTCTTAGATACAAATTTACTACCCATGGGTCAGAACCAGCCAGCAGGGTTGGTAAAAGAAAAGGATCAAAGGAGTTGTGAGATGAATAAAGAGGATCAGTGCAACTCTTGGTACACAAATCTCTTGCTTTTGTTAGGTATGGTTGGATATGTAAGGTAAAATGGGATATACAACAACTATTTTAATATCTGAAAAACATTTTTTCATCATTTGTAGCTCTTTCCAGTAGTAGGTGATTTTGTTTGAAGTTGTTTAAGTGTGGTAACATATTAGAACTTACTGCATTTTGGGGTAAATCTTTATTATGAACCTAATAGTTTTGCATTGAAGAAAAAATGATTTTTGTCTATACTGTCAGTTATGGTTCTTAGAAAAAAATGAATTGGTGCATCACTACATAAAACAACTCCCTTTGACACTTCTGTTTTTGTAGAAGATTAAATATGGTACAAAACATCTAAACCTATAAACTTTAGAGTTAGCAAATGAAAGGCTTGCAGTTCTGCTTGGGCAGGCTAACCGTCTGTAACAATCTTCTTTAAATATTCAACTTCCAGATTTCTTCTATTTAAATTTTTTTTACTGGAACTTAAGAAGTAGCTATGACCATATCCCTCTTTTATTAGTAAAATAATCTTTTTGTAAAGGTATTTGCTCCCAGTTTTGCATTTGTCTCCAAATCTTGACTTACATGTCACAGCTATCTTTTGAGTAGCAGTGGCAAACAGCCCAGACACGCGATTGGTGGCTTTGCAGGTGACAGTTTTGGAGGTGTCCATCTCCCGAGGAGTGATAGAAACAACGTTTCCTTGACTACGGATCCATGGGCCTTTATCTGTCCTCCAGCTGTAGTAGCAGGATGGCTGACAGTACGCATAGCAATTATAGGTATGGCTCACTGTGGGATTCATCAAACTGGGGCCTGAAATGGAAACATTGGTAGGTCCAGCTATAATAGAAAAAAAAATATTTGTCATTAGTGGAACCAGTATGGGCTAGTGTGTAATTTTTCACATGACAATAACTCAGTGAAATGCTCCTAGTTTTGTAAAAGATCTAACAAGCTCATACCTAAAACCTGGATGTTCTTTGTTGCCGTAGCACTCAGCCCGTTGTCGCCTGAGACTGTACATGTCACTGTTAAAGAAGGTACCCAACTATTAATAGTAAAGGCTAGCATGTTGCTTTGACCCACGGCACTTTGTCCATCCAGAGACATGGAGTAGGTACATGCCCCACAACTGGAACTGCACTCAATGCTGCTCGGCACACCCACCGTCACATAGTTTGGGCCAATAATAACTGGTTTCAAGCCTTCAGAAAATGTCACAAAAATTAGTACTTTATTGCACATAATGTTCAAATTTCTTTACAGCTACAGTTCATTTATTATATATTGTTCATGATGATACCTAGAACAGCATTAGCATAAGACTTGTATTGAATTAAATGTAAAATCACTTACCACTGTCAGCCAGTTCAGAGGGCTTTCCATCTGACGACAGCACTGGGTGAAAGCCTAACAACCAGTAAAGCATACTACATAAAACATGTAAGCTTTTAAGTTTACAAGAAAATCTAGGCCTAAACAAAGGTTCAGCTATTTTAGGGGGTTTTCGGTCATACAAGGTCTGTAAGGAGCAGATTGTTAACAAGTTTTTTTATTTGAGATTGTTTTTATTAATCAACTCTACTTGCTGCTTATTTGAAGCTAACAGGTATGTGAAGAATCATCTAACGTTAGCAAAGTAGCATTACTGCAGGCTCTGTGCTGACTTTACACTTCTTCTGTACTTGTGTTTATAATTACACCGTGTTAGTATTATCTTGTTAATCATGGCCATAGACCTATGCATATATCTGTGTAGGTTCTTGTCATCCAGGTCATGCTAATCTAAGGAGCTTGGAAAGAAAAATAACTGGACTTCACCTCACCTCACCATAAAGAAGTCCAGCCGCTTTTCTTGCCAAGCTCCTTGGATTACTGATGCATAGGCTTACACAGGCTGATAACTAGATATTATTAACTATTTTACTTGGGAGGCTCACATAAATTGCATAGCCTTCAAATTGTTTTTATGAACAATCTTCACATGGCTTCATAAGTTACCCACTACTAACTTGGCAGCTGTTGAGCTTAAAGTTATACAAAAAATATAAGATAGCAAAATATATTTTAAGAATCAAAAATAATAGTGCTCATAATGTCTAACTTGATTCAATTTACTTTTTCATGTAGCACGCTTTTGTAGATAAATGTAGAATGTTAAACGTAAGAATTTGGAAAAACAGCAACAAAACTGAAAAAGCAGAAAAAGGTTAACTGTCAATAGAAACGCATTAGCCCTATTACAGTGTGCCACGCTAACTTTTTTTTTTATCACAGCTACTTTTAAGTTCATCGAAGGATTGTGTTACCTGCCAGAATCAGAAACACTGAAATTCTGATGACATTTGTGTTTTCTCCTTTTGGTTTGGATGTGAAGGTATTATCCATTTTTACTGTACGAAGCTGAAGTGTATCTCCGGGAAACAGTCCACTGACACAGAGCAGTCGGGCAGCTAGTCAACATGACTAAGCACACAGCTCATATCAGTAAGAGCTGAAAAGAAATCACCCTTCGTCGTCATTGAGCAATCCATTGCTTTTGTTTCGTAGCACAGTGCGACCCATAGTGGTTACACAAAGGTTTCAGAATTTCATCAGCTATGTATAACCGATTTAGATGGATGAGTTCGTGCACCTTGGGTCAGTTTTCCAGAAGCTGAGTTTAAAGAGAGGAGAATTACACTGCAGCAGTACTCCCATCTTTGGGCTACAGGCTCAGAGCCAGATAAAAGGAGTGCTTTGAATCTAGGGTGGTGATAGTTGTAGAGAGTAGCCCAAAAAGGAAATGTCACAGGTCTGACCACTCGAACAGCAAACATTTAAATAGAAAGGCATTTATATAGCAGTTTTCTAGTCTTATTGACAATTCAAAGCACTTTATATATCTCAAACTAATCAAACACATGCATATAACAAACTACAACACAACAACTTAACACAACT